TGCAGGAATTTCTGCTCAGCCACTCAAGTAAAACTATTTACATCAAGATAACACATTAAACATTCTTCTTAATTCAAGAAAGATACAGTTGTGTTTGGTATAAACAGGCAAGTGCAGTATGTGGTTTGATTACTCCACAATGACAGTGATAATAACTTGCTGTTCTGTGTGGAGATCCCCAAACCATTTTAAAACAATTGATTAATGAATTTTCAAACGGGTAACTCAGAAACAATATGAGTTTGATTTCATAGCTACAGATACTAAAGCACAAAGCCACTAAATGTCAGGCAAGTTTTAGGGCAGGCTGAAAACAGATGAAAAGTGCCCAAACAACAGGATCATGATTTTTTATTTCAGCATAACTTAAATTTCTGGATACCTCTATGTACAGAATGATACTGTGGTTTCCTTTGATCACAAAATCTATTAAATGAAATGCTTGTGGGTAAATATTGAGGGTTTTTTGTTGACTTCTTAGGAAAGATGTTTTAAAATTATTTCAACTTAGATCTGCACAAATTGTTTTTCTTTATTCAGTACATAAAAGGCTTGTGAATTATTCAGTGGAATTTTTTTGTGTTTGATTAACCATTCTTGGGACAGGGTTTTCTAGATTTCAGATAATGCTTTCAAACTGAAAGGCCTGAAATTCATAGAATCATGGAATATTTAGGGTTGGAAAGGACCTTAAGATCATCTACTTCTAACCCCCTTGCCATGGGCAGGGACACCACACACTAGACCATGTCACACAAGATTCCAGCCAACCTAGCCTTGAAAACTGTCAGGGATGGAGAATTCACAGCTTCCTTGGGCAACCCATTCCAGTGCCTCACCACACTCACAGTAAAGAACTTCTTCCTTACCTCAAACCTGAACTTCCCCTGTTTAAGCCTGAACCCATTACCCTGTGTTCTATCACTACAGTCCGTAATGAAGAGCCCAAACTGGTCAATGAAGTCCACATTGAAGCAGGTAGTTTAGCATTAAAATGAAATAATGTTGGCTTTAAGTACTGTATAAACCAGCTTCCCAGTTTCCAGGTGTCCTGGGTTTAGCAGTAGCAGTCATTTTTTTCTTTCTTGGTAGCTGGTGCAGTGCTGCGTTTTGACTTTCGGGCTGGAAACAAAGCTGATAAAAATGATGTTTTGATTTGGCCAAGGACTTTGTGAGCCTCATGCTCTGCGAGAGAGGAGGGGAGCCGGGAGGAAGCAGAGACAGGACACCTGACCCAAACTGACCAAAGAGGTATTCCATACCACAGCACGTCATGCCCAGGATGTAACTTGGAGTTACCCAGAAGGGCTAAGGGTACTGCAGGTTTGGAGGAGGTATCAGTCCATGCTTGATCGGGCTGGGGGGGCAAGTTATCGGTAGCCTGGTGATGGGGTGTTGTATTCTCTTCCCTTGTTATTTCCTTTATCATTATTATTATTGGTGGTAGCAGCAGTGATTTGTGTTATACCTTAGTTACTAAACTGTTCTTATCTCAACCCGTGGGAGTTGCATACTTTCTGATTCTCCTCTCCATCCCTCCAGGAGTAGGGGGAGGGCAAGAAGGGGGGGGGGGGGGGGTGAGTGGACAAGCTGTCTGGATGGGTTAAACCACGACATCAGGTGTCGTGGTTTAAGCCCAGCCTCTCAATTCAACCACACAGCCCTCTCTCACTCCCCCCCCCACCTTCCTCCCCCCCCTCTCCACAAGGGATGGGGAGGAGAAACTAAATAATGTAACTCCCATGGGTTGAGATAAGAGCAGTCCAGTAACTACGGTATAACACAAGCCACTGCTGCTACCACCAATGATAATAACGATAAGGGAAATAACAAGGGAAGAGAATACAACTGCTCACCACCCGCCAATCGATACCCAGCCCGACTGAGCAGTGAACTCGCCCTTCCGGGTAACTGCCCCCAGTTCTATCTCCTGGGCATGACGTGCTGTGGTATGGAATACTTCTTTGGTCAGTTTGGGTCAGGTGTCCTGTCTCTGCTTCTTGCCGGCTTCCCCTCCTCCCTGGCAGAGCATAAGACTCACAAAGTCCTTGGTCAGACTAAACATTAGGAAGCCACAACTGAAAACATCAGTGTTATCAACGCTGTTCCCAGGCTGAAAGTCAAAACCACATCACTGCACCAGCTACAAAGAAGGAGAAAAATTGCTACTACTGTTGAACCCAAGACACCAGGTTATAAGCTTCCTTCAATTCATATTCTCTTTGGTTATCAGGGACTAAGAGTAAAAGCTCTGCTGGAAAATCAATTTTCTAATATTATTTTTTTCCCTTTGAATACTTTGGCAACACCAAACAATTTTCAAGCAGTAGAGTGAAAACAAACATAATACACTGGAGACAAAGTGTATACTATTTTTTTCTGAGATATTTATGAGTTTTAATGAATCATTGATTTGTGAATTTGATCAAGAGTTGTATTAATGCGCATCTGTAGTGGTTGTAATTCTTATTTTTCTTTCTTTGGTTGATACTAGTAATATAAAATACATTGTATAGTAAGATAATATAGGTCCTCTTTAGAGCTTACAGAAAGGAACAGGCATCTCTAAGGGTGAACCATGTTGACTGCTTTGGGATGAGAGGAACATCTCCCCATGGGTAGGTGTGTACCCACCTCCAATGACCTCATGAGTGGTTAGCCAGATAAAATAGCCGGATAAAATGGTTAGCCAGAATCTGAAATATGATTTTTTGGTTGAATTTTATAAAACTGAAAGCTCTTTATAAACCAAATGATAACAATAACAAATGTGCTGAAATATATTTCCCATCAGTATCTGTACCCACAGCCTTGTACCAGCCACTGTGCTTTAGCACCAGAAAATACTCAGGAGAGCTCCTGGTGTCCTTTATGGCACCAAAGTTTGTAGTAACATCTCCCCTTGATAAAACTTTCATATATAACCTTTGGTCAGCCAGGGGTAACCGAGTCCTGTGTACTCATGCTTTCACAGTGTAACAGTGACAATACAGTATATCTAGACCTAAAGCATCAGTGCTTGACACATTTCAGGAACTGAGCCTGCTCTTGGCTTTCTACTTAGCTTCCCACAGAATATTGCATCAGCCTGAGGGCACCAGTCCTGCTTTTCAAGTTGCCAAATGTCTTCAGTGGCTCAGGTGATTGGAATTGTCCTCTGCACTCCAGGGAGAGCGCAGTGATTAGAAACTTCTTTTCCCCTCTGGAAATGAAGCTTCCTCCAAAAGAAAGCTCAGACATTAGTGCAGTAGACTGAGTTCTGAAAAGCAAGTGGAAAAAAGGCACAAGAACACAAATTCAGTGAATTGAGAATATGAACTCAGACTTATTGGTACGTTCACATAAAGGTGAATTGTACTGAATGCCTATCACGTCTGTGTGCAGCTATAATATGCAGTTCAATTAAAGAAAACCCCAGTCTACTTGGGCGTTTAAAGTACCTTCTTAATGCTACAGTGGTGGCAATTAGAAAAATTACTGTTGCATACAGTGAGCAAAATCCGAGTCTCAGTTCCAAAGGGTTCACATCAGTTGATTTGCCAATAGTCCATTGATTTCTCACCGAGTTTTACATGTGGGAAGTAGATGCAGCCACGGAGAATGGCAGTGTTGCTATTTATCCTGCTGCTGAAGAACTTCCCTCAGGAAGTCCCAGCCTGAGGCTGATATAGACGATCTGGGTTTCTGGATATGTTATTTAATCTGCCTCATATGCTATGAAATGGACAGGCTGCAGATAGAAAATTAATCTGCATCTGTCCAGGACCATGCTGGATAAACTAGAAAGGCTTGTGCTGAGCCCTATTGATTGCAAGAAGGTCCAAATAACAATGCCTTATGGCCATGCTCAGCCTTGCTGCAATCAGATTTTACTTGTGTACATTACACCGCATTGCAGGTCACAGCACAAATTTAATTAAATCCTGATAAAAATCAATTTGCAGCTCTTGTACTACTTAAGTCAAGGGTAGAAAACTACTGAGCCAGGTGCCCAGCTGGAGAAAGTTCTCAAGTAGAAAATTACAGCTGTGTTTTTTAGGTGTTCATCTTATCTTGTATGCAATGAAGGCCAGTGGGCTGGATCCTTGGCTGCATAGTGAGTTCTGCTAGCAGTGGTGGGATTGTCTTCACTTATGCCAGCTGAGATCCACCCTTTCATCAAATGGATTAAATCAGAAATCAGCACTGGCTACAGACTTCAATCACAGCACTGGACCTCAGGCTTGTCTGTTATATAAAAGTTCCATACAATTTGGGATGACTCAGTGTTGTTTCTGTCTCCAGCGGCAACATGAAATCCTTTGGGACATACAAGAACTATCTCGCCGACACATGGGACCCACCATTTGCATCACAGGAAAAGTCTTGTGACCAAGACTGGGATTTCAAAGGATGATATTAAGGGCCCCATGATTTCAAGGGAAATCAGACAGCGTTTCAAAATCTGGCTCTAAGGCTCTCAATGCAGCTGGGACAAACTGAGGCTGATGTTAATAAAAAGCAAGTTCTGTCTGGATTCTAGATGAAAGGACAGGCACTTGGGAGATTTGGCTGTAATACTGGATAGCTGAGTGACCTGGGACATAGGAACTTTCAGTCCAGTCTGGTTTTAGTAGGTGGCTAACTGAACATCATGGAGCAAAACCCATGGCTTTTGTCATCTTCAATGACAAAGAGAACCCATGCTCTCATTTTGTAGTAGGCGAGCATCCTAAGGAGCAACCTTACTAACTAGTCTGTGATGGAATCAGGTAGCCCTCACAATCAGGAAGACAGCAAGTTTTTAGATGTGATCTATCCCTTCTGTAATAACTTGTCGGTGATTCTTTCCTTTTTTATTCATTAGCATGTTGTTTGGTTTGCTGTCTCTCATCCGCAGACAGAGCATCATCCTTTCTTTGCAGAATAAGGCTACTCTGCATGTGCTTTGTGAATCCAGATTCAGTGCCTCTTATTCTACGTGGAATGCTGATGAATAACTCAGCAGTGTCTCTGACGCAGATGGCCTCTAAATAACAGACACAAATCAAAGGATATGCATTAAGAGTTGCAGTTTCTGAGCTGAAGTTGTTTCCATGACAGCTAAAGTCTCTGGACATGCTTATTGCACCCTCTTGTGTTTGTTCACTATAAATGCATGATTTATTCAATCACATCTGTTCCACATTTTGATGATGCACCAGTTGGTACCCAATGCTGACTTTCCTCTTGGTCTTCACTGGTAGAGCACAAAGGACTGGAAAGGAGGATAAGCCATTGGTGTGGATGCTCAGTAATTTTATTTTATAGAGTTTTGATCAGTAACTGCAGCAAATTAGCACCTTTTTTATTTTTCCATTTCATTAACATCTATTAAGGTTATGGTCCTTGATACAATTGATTCAAACTAAATATATGACCTAAGAAGGAACTTGTATTAGACTATGCAAGCAAAGAAAGCATTTATTTAACATCACTAACCTGTGCACAAGGAATTAAATTCACAGCCACTTTGCCTTGCACTTAACTGAAAAGCTTTCCAAGCCATGATGGATGGCATGTGGGATCTGAAGAGCTTTCCGAGTTCTCCTCACTTCTGCAGTGGGCAGATTGCCCACGTCCCTCCTTTCCTTTGCTTTGCACTTTTCCTGGGCAAGGAAGAGATCCTGCAAATAATTATCAAGACTGATAGTGACAACATACTACCCTATTGATTTTTCCATCTAGCTTCTAGCTTCAGGTTCTCTCAGATTGAGGCTTTCTAAGGCTGCCCAACGGACTGACAGCTTTGAAAGACCAAAGCCAAACGTACCCTTTTAATCTCTGTCATATTAAATGAAATTTGAAGCTTACCTTTACAAGGCTTTACAAATGATAGTAGATCATTTTTTTTCCCCTGCTTTGCCTGCATTGAAATCTCCAGCCCTATAAAGTGACCAGGCTGTGTTTTCTTTCCTGTGGATGTGGATGGCAGATGGTGAGATTACAGGAGCAGCAGAGGACAAGAAAAGGTCTTGCACATACTTCTGAGGCAGGCTGTTGAAAGCCACAGTATCACTGCACTGTTATAATAGTGATATTACCATGAGGAAGCCTCTGAGCTCCCATTATATATCAGTAATGTTAGGACCCCATTAGTACTGCCTCCAATTTGAAATATTCCGGTGGGAAAACAGGTGAATGTGTTGGGAAAAACGGTGGTAAAAAAATGACCTTATTTTCAACCTGTGCTGCTTACACGGTTTTGGTTATGTACAAATGCTTTTCCACATCCTCAGCCCTATTGCTCTTGCTCAAAGTACTCTGGAGGTGTCAGGATTGAGGTGTGCATGATTGAATGAAACTGGAGGTTCAGCAGGAAAGAGCTCTACATATTTTGCTTATAGAGAACTAATAAACTGCTGGCTTTCTCAAGATCAAAAAGTAAATCCCAGGATAGAAATACTGTTTTGGGAATTAAAGTTTGTCAGCTAAGCAGAGTACATCCACCTGGGTGAGAGCTTGATGCAGAACCAAGTTATATGCATGTATATGTCTGTGTACATAAATAAAAAGTAAGGTGGTTAAACTCATATAGAATGAATATCATGTGGCATAGCTGTTGTCAGTGTTGCTGTGGTAACCAAGCATGACAATGTGTCAGACAAGTTAATTTTAGACAAAATAAACTGTTTCTTAAAACTGTTGGAGAAACAGATGGATTTTGTCTTAAAATGGACTCTTAAACATTTGCTTTTTGGAAGTACTTTAGAGGAAGACCAAGTAAATACACATTCACCTCCCAAAAGCTTGCTCAAAGATAAAGGTTTCTAGATGCCATCTTTCCAGGACCATCTTTATTACTCATGCCTCACATGCTAAGGTATTTTCCTGTACCTTCTTGAACTGATGCTTGGGCCAGTTCAGAAGATGACTTGATTTCTTTTTGCTGTATTTCTGCTGGGTTGCTTGGCCTCCATCCTCAGCACCCTCTCCAACAGCTTCAGAACTCTCTTTTTTTCCACATTTTTCTTTGTGAAGCACCGATTTAGCTATATATTGAGTTTCCTCAGTGCCTTCACCTTTGTTCTTAGTTTAATATCCTTCAGGCTGCATCCACCAGACCAGACTTAATTTTCAATGAGAAGGTAGCATACAGAATGCAAGCTAACTCTATTTGGGATCTGGGTTTGATGGCTAAAAAATGATTTGATCATTGGACTAGATAATGATGGTTGCTAAGGCACCAGTGGTCATGGCCTTCTTATATACAGGATAAATGGAGAACAGCCCGAAGAAGTAATATTTTCATTTAGGGCTTCAAAAGGGCAATTTCAATGCTGAGGCAAATTATGAGCCAAAGAAGGTGGGAATAAAAATAAGGATAGAAAAATAGGATTGTCTTTTAGTAAATAGATTCAAAGGCAAAAAAAACCCAACCAAGATCAAATAAGAAGAAACTGGTTACCAAAAAGAAGACTCTTCTCTCAATAATAAAAAAGTAGAAGTTGATAAAACTCAATCCAAAATAAAAATGACCAAAACCTAGAACCATAAGAAATGAAAATAAATGGCAATTGTTATCTCCAAGGAGATGCGACATTAAAATAATTGATAAGAGAAGTTGTTGACATGAGGGAAAAAAACACTAAAAGGGGTGTTACAGAAAAAGCATATTAAAAGCAAAAGAATTATTATCAGTAGTATGTCTTTGCTAGCGCCATGGGCAGCAATTATGAATTATATCGATATCATTTATAATATCAGTGAATGCTCCCTAAGCACTTCCTTCCTGAAAAATGACAAGAGGCTATTAAATATTTTTGGTGATAACAGCGTTGTTTGTAAGTATTTTAGTAAATCAAGGAATAAATAGCCAAACCTACCAAAACCACCGCTTTCTGATGATCAGCCAATTCAGACACCTTTGAGATGACTCTGGCAGAGTTGGCAGAGGAGATAGTTTATGTATTGTTGTGAATATTCATACATCTTTTCATTCCACTGAAATTCCAAAAAGATGGAACTGCTATGTGAGATAATACTGTGTGAGGTGCAAAAGCTGGAGAGCTGACATCTATCACTCCGAAGCAAAATAATAGAAATCTTATATGAAATTCATTTAGTGAAGACTGTAAATATAATTAATGCCAATCAAAACTGTCTCTGGAAAAGGGGCCTTGTCAAACAAACCAGATTTCCTCTTTAAGGAGACAACCATTTTGGTTGGAAAATGTACTGATAAGTGTAGCAGAATTGCCTAAAGTGTTTGCTTTTATATTGCACAACTTTCTGACTAAAAATACATCACTACAGAACATCAATACACCCTGCCACATAACTGACATGTTTTGTTTATGAGGAAATCACAGATTTGGGAAGCAAATATAAATCCATTGATACAGACAGTAATACATCTGCTTATAACAAAAGCAAAATGCAGGTGAACATGATATGTGATGGTCAGAGTGTATGGTTCAATTACAGTTTGACCTACAGTCCCTCTGCACCCCTCCTAGCCTTATGCTTCTCAAATATAGATCTTCTCTAACACTCAGTAGGGAACTCCAGAAATTCTGCCTGACTTGCTACAGCAAAGATCCTGCAAAAAAAGATATTACAGCCCTATAAATAGCAGCTGCTATCCTACAGAGTGGTGCAAGATAGAGACAGAAAGTGAGAGGTGCTGGGGTTGTCGTCGCCATCCGGGATGTCTCCAGGCTCAAAGAGTATTTCCAAGCAGTTATGACTAGTGCTGTTTTGAACTGCGCTCTCAAGACAATAGTGCCCCAATGGTGCTGGCATCTCCCAAGGGATGCAATGCGACCCAGCATCTCACAAGCAGCACTCAGCATCTTGCAGGATCAAGCCTGTATTTATCACCAAGGGAAAAGCTAGTCCTACTGTTGAAGCCTGCATTCTCTCTTGCTTAATTTCTCCTAATTATTCTTAATTGTGCCCCCAGGAGTAGAGCTCTGTGAATAATTGATTATTTCTTGTTGTTGTTTTGTTGCCAAACTGGGGGGGAGGGGAATTATTCAAGGTTGAATGAAAAAGAAAAACATTTGGGTTTTTCTTACCATAAAAAGCCACTCCCTCCTCCCCCCGATTTTTCAGGGCAAACAAAATAGATCTTTAATTTAAACCAAAGTGATTTGGTTCATTTTCTTTTTCTGACTGTTGCCAGCAGTGGAATGTAACTATACGCAATCTTACAGCACAAAGTCAAAACATGGCATTTAAACACAATGAACTGAAAAGATTCAAATAATATGGTTTGGAGCAGGAGGTCTGCTATAGATCGGATTGAACCAAAATTAGTGAGAATCTTCATTTCCACTCTCAACATGCATTTTCCAGTGACTGAACTGTTTTCCCCATTCTCCCAATTTTGTTGTGATCCTATTTAAGCAGTCTTGTTTTCAGCATTGATTTGGTATTTAGCTTCCATACATAGGTAGGTCTGTGCCCCTTTTCTGAGCTCCCCTTCAGCCAGCTCTACCTAATTATTCTGATCTTCTCTCAGAAGTAAGGCCTTTCTTCCTATTAATCATTTTTCTTCTTAGATTTGCCTCCAATTTATCAACATATGCCTGGGCAGGAGCTGCTAAGGAGTGAATGCTGTGTTAAATTGCAAGCCAGCTACAATAGCTACCTTTCATAAATAGCTGGGGTTTGCTATTTTTCATGCAATTGCCATTTCTGGCTCAGTTTCTTTGCTTTGCCAATCTCCTTGAAACACATTTCAGGCTGGCAAAGGTCCGTTTAGCCCTTCTTTTTTTTTCCTGGAAAAATTGTAGGTACCTCATTTATAGGCATGGGTTGGAAAAGCAAATATCTTGGATGTCCCAGTACCTTCTAATAGTTCATAGTTTCTGAATATTTTACATTACTGTGTTCATTAAGATACCTGTTCTTGCCCAACTCAACCATTCATCAAATTTGCCTAAGGCTAAAACTTAATATACATACTTGATACTTCCAAACATCTGCATGCTTAGATGCCAGAGGCTATAATAAAGCCAAACCTGTCTGCATGAAATATTGCAAGGAAAATCACTGGAGGGTCAGCAAATTAGAAGGAGCTAAGAGAAAGGAAAAAGCTACCAACATTTTCCTGCACATTCAGAGCATCTGTGCTCTAATACCCTCCTTCACTCACAATCTCAACCCAAATTGATCTGGCAAACAGCGAGGGATGGGGAAGGATTACATGCTGGGGAGAATCAGGCATGGGAAGAGTGATGAGAAACCTGTGCACGTTTTCTTAATTTATCCAAGCAGAGCAATATTTACTGTCCCTCAAGGTGATTCAACCCTGAATCCTGCTGCCAAAATACAGCCCTTTCAAAAGCACATGAAGGCTGATGATGAAAGTGCTCAAACTGTCAGTATTTTTCGGACTTTTTCATTAAGAACCATGCTATCCATGCTCACATTTGTTCAGCAGGCATGCTTCATTGATTTATGTTGTATGAAAACACCTTAGCTGTGTCCTTAAAACCTCATTAGCGTCTGTTAAATATCCATTTGAATCTCAGTTTTATTCAAAAATGCAAATTTACAGAAGTTTTTAATTGTGTGCCACGCATCAGTGCGATTACAACTTCGTCTCCTCTGTTTTGACATAATGTGGATTTAATAGTTTGCAAAACCAGCAGCTCAGATAATGCATGATGACTTACTATTTATACAGAGGCAAACATTTCCCATTGCTTCTCATGTGGTCAATACCTACTGAGAAAGAAGGCATCCTGCAATTAACAGCAAGGAACTAATAATAGCCACTGCTGTGGCCTTGTATAAAAGCAGCAGAATGTTTACTTCCTAACAGGAGTCAGAAAATACTTTGTTTAGCAACAGGAAAGCCATAGGGGACATATATGTTTTGCATTGTCTAAAAAGAACTGATATCCAAAAGCTTTGCCAGAGTTATGTCATATTGAATTAAAAATAAATTGATAAGAAACAATTAAGAATAAGAAAAGAACATCAAGATTTGTGTTATGTTCTTTTTTTGGTCTTCAGTTTAGCATCCTGCTCTGTCACTTCATCTCTCCCATTCCTCCCATTCCTCCCATGTTCCAGTTTTCTACCTTGACACTATAATAACTTACCATTGCTAATCTTCACCTCCTTCCCTTATAAATCCTCTAGTTTTAGCAAAACAGTGGGCACAAAGGAAATCCAAAAATGTATGTTTGCACCCCATGCACATGTTCAGATAAGGGTGAAGTACCCCATCCTGATGCCTATGTAAGGGCAAATCTGACAGCCCCAAATCCTGTGAAATCCCTTTTACTAGTGTTGCAGTGACTCTTTCCAATGAGCCTCAGCTGCTGTTGTTATTTCTTCATCTAGGAATTGCAGCCTGAATGTAGCACAAGAGTCTGCAATTACAACCCTGATGATTTCTTAATTTTCAGCAACTGGATAGGTTGTTCAGTAGGGAACAAGCACAAGCACAGGCTGGTTTCTCTTATTGAAACTGCTCATCTGCCTTGTGAATTCTGAATTCAAAGATGCTTTTTTTCAAGCAGACCTTGATGGCATGGCACTGAAACGCTTTCTTTCCACAAACATCTATCTGTTTTACTCTGTTGGGAAGCCAGTTGGTGATCTTTACTGCTATTGATTTTGGTACTTAAATAATCAATCTTTTGTTTTTCTGCTTCCCTCTTTTTTGGCAAGAGGGATTTCTGAAGCTGTCCTTTCCTGGTAGCATGGTATAGCAGGTCTCTGTCATTAGGATTAAGAGTGTTCCATGTTTCACAACCAGTTAGGGCTGAAGGTAAAGGGATAAACAAGTTGTTTGGCTATCTCCCCACTGAGTGAAGCAATCAATCAGCCCCAGAAATGCCCTCCCAACAACTGCAGTCATGATGTTGCTCTTCCCTCAAAGCGTCTACCTTTAATGGTCCTTAACCTGAACACATCCTTTATTTGACACTTTTGTGATACTTCTTTTTTTTTATCCTTGTAGATATGATGACAGACACTTCCTCTCTCATTCAAAACCTATTCAGTGAAAAACAGCAAGAACATTGATTTAGCAATTCCAAATTCATAGGTAACAGCCTTCCTCATTTTGTGATTTTTTTGCTCTTTGATCGTTTTTCTTCAAAACATATACTCATTGTCCTATTGACAGAGACTTTTCCTTTAGAAGCTGCTGTTTATATCTGCAAACTTACCTTTTCCATTGATTCCATACCATCGTTAGACTGTCCATCATCGGCAGTAGAATAGAACTCGGGTTCCACATGTTCTCCAGCATGAGTTGTATTGAGTAAGGTGTAGGTCGTAGGTTAACACTGAGCATCACAAGAAAAGTTGTGCCCAGAAACAAAGCTTCAAGGACCACCTTGCTTATAGGTAGCTGAAGGACACTGGAGAGATGTCAGCTTTTCAGAAAGTTATTCATGATGTTTGTTGACAGAGATAAAAAAGACGGCAATATCTTGCTAGCAATACCAACCCATTTCCCATACTCTTCAAAACTATGCATACACGGCCAAAAGGCTCCAATTTAAAGCGAACTTGCTTTATCAGCTAATGGAGGCAACTCCCTTCATCATGATTAAGAGTGTTCCAGGTGTTAATTATTAAATAGAAACATATATTTCTCCAAATTCACCTTGAGATACAAAGTTTAACTTTGTCACTCTTTCCACTACAGAACATGGATGTCAACAATATTCAAAGTATAAGCTTGTTACTTTAACTTGGATTGTCTACATAACTTAAAAATGCATCTGATTTTCTTTGGTTATGCATTATAACAGAATTTTCTCTTGCTGCTCTTTTCCAAATCCTTTTCATCTTGTCTTCATGTTTCGCAAATTGTGGACATCTAAATCTGGCATCCTATTTCAAGTCCATGCTCCAAGCAGCGCATGAAGATACAGAAGAACGGTGCAAGGTAATAAACTGTTTTCAACAGACCTGTTACGCAATAATCCAGGAAGGAAAAAGGAGAACAAGAAGAAATAAAAACCAAACAAAACCCAGGTTTTTTAAAAGAAGTAGGTTGAACTTAGTCCTCAGAGAAGGCAGTTGAGCCACACAGTGGCTTCAGTGGACAGCTGAAATGTTCCTCTTCTTATTTTCTCTAATAAATATTTCATTTGCAGATTTAGACTAGATAACTTGTATCTAGCTGCTATGAACCAATGGAGAGTTGAAAACCATTAATCATGTCTTGCTGTTAAGGAAGGAAGAACATGCAATTCTGGAGACTGTTAGTCAATAAATAGAGGCTTTTCAGGCATTCATAATTGACTACCATTTGTCACCAATTTGCACAAAGTAAAATTCTGCTAAGGATACCCTTTCAGAGTCGATTGCCAAATCAGAATAAAAAAGAACTTATAACACTCAGTCAGGGAGATTTCTGTAACTGTTTCCCCACCCCACTTTTCCTCATGTCAGTGGGTATTTGAAGTCTGATTTTATAAATAAGGTTAAGAGATATGTGAACATGTTCTAAATCTCTGCCAGGCTAAGAAAGATTAAAGAAACCTTTAAAGAAAAACACCAGAGAATAAGGGAGGAGGCCTACAAATAGCACCAGAGAGGCTAAAAAATGGTGACTCAATAGCTGTGAAATTCCCTGTTGCACAGATAAAGCTCTTCAGTCTTGGTAAGGAGTAAAATGTGAAATTTTACCCTGGGAACAGTCATTATGATGACAAAAAGGTCTGAAATCTTGGAGATTTTCAAGAGTGATGGGATGAACTTATAGAAGTAGCTATCAAGAAAGATGTTCCAACACAGTGAGATCTGTTAGGCTGCAGGATAACCTCATAAGGAAACTGATAGAAATCCCATTGCTCAACGTATATAAATTAGTCTGGATACAGAAGGTGTTATGTATCTCTATATGTGCAATAAAAAAACAATACAAAGAAATCACTGTGGCACAGCTGGAGACATGAATAACAGTGTTAACTCACAAACAGCTTTAAAAGGCTACTAGTATATTCTGACCATGTATCATAGTGTGGGTTGTGTTGAATTGGAGGGGCAAATTTTGAAGGGAGCTGGACTCCACACTTTGGCAAGTGTTCTCTCTTTGGATACCTGTGACCTCATGCTTTGCTAGAGAAGATGTAGTTCCCTTTTTTAAGGCTTTCAGTTTGCTCCAGTGGCTCCTTATCTGTGTCTCTGACACCTACAATTTCACATTCCTGCCAACTTGTATAAAGTGGCAAAGAATAATAACTTGGTCCTGCAGTCTGTTACACACTTGGCCAGCTTCTAAACACATAGAAATGGTATTTCGTCCTCAATATGCTTTGTCTTGTAACTTGTGAGTTTTATAACTAAAATCTTTCTTCTCTTGTTGCCATTTTTCTCTATTCCTACATATCCCAAAAGATCATGAAACATTAAAACCAGATATGTTAAGCCTTGGATTTGTCAGGATACTCACCCATAAGCAATCCAGCAAGGGAACCAGCTGGTTTTTGCAGGATGTATGTTATCTAGTTTCCATGGTCTAGACCTGCAGACATCCAGGAAAACATCAGAACAGAGAATTAGCTCAATTTGTTGTGTTTACAGCAGCAGTGCCGATGGGAAAACTGGTAACATGGACACAGTATGTTGGATCCTGAAAGAGTGAAAGCATTTTGAGAGACTGTCTCAACAGCATGAGCAGAGATTCACAAGCAAGTTAGGCATAACGTGGTAATGATGTTTTTCTTTTGCAAGGCTTAGCCCGACAAGCTTCAGCTGTGGGATAGACACCTTTATAACTGCTCTTTCTGTGCAGCAAGGATAGAGGGGAGAAACTGCAAGTTGGATGTGTGAAAATAACACCTCCTGCAGTTGTTCAGCTGATAGTGAGGGTTTGCCAGGCTTGTGCAAAGCATCACACCAGCTCTGTAACACTTCCTGCCGCTCTGTTTGGTGCTGGGCATGTTATGTAAGTGAAGATGATGTTGTGTGGCTTAAATTGAGGCGATAGGATGGAAACTGGGCTTTCAAAGTTAACACTTCTGCTTCAATGTTCATAAAAAGTTATTGCCCCCTTATACTGTTACTGAAGAAGTACTAACACAAAAAGATTGAAAAGGTGAATCCTTTGTGTTAAAAATCTCCAGTACAGGATAGCTGTCAAGGTAGAGCAAGCTCTGTAGGGAGTAGTAACAGCCTGCCCTTAGCTTCACACAGGGAAACAATCTTTAACATAATTATTTAGAAAGAAGACTTTGGAAGCAGTTGAAGATGTGGATGTTCAGCTTTTTGAGGAAAGATAACCTACAGAACCTTCAATCAGAAATGTCTGACACAGAAGTATGATTATGGCAAAAATGGTGCATGGAGGATGCAGGCAGAGGTCAAGATGTGGGTCCATTGCAAAACACAATGCATTTCCAGATCAATGTTGTTGATTTATTCTGGGGTTTTTAAAATCATTCTCTCATGAAAATACGGGTACTCCTGAGAGCTGTTGCTACTACTGCAGTAGTAGGGGGAAAATGCTGCATGCAAACACAGCCCACCACAGCTTCAAGTTGGCAGGCTAACCATTTATCCAGCTTTCAGCCTGGTAATGGCTCAGCTCTGGCGCCTCCCGCAGCCCTAAACCCTGCCAGCCCTGTGAATTATGAACACCTCTGTCCAGCTGCCCGAGGGAGTTGGAATGGGAAGGATACACAGAGCACAGCCAGCTGGATGAGGCTCCATGCAGCACACAGGAATAGAAAGGTTTTGCTTTCTACCATAGCTGGTGATGGAGGAGGATGCTGTGCACGCTTTCTGTGCTTGGACTGGAGCACTCACCAAGTGCCTTGGAGAATGGGGTTTAGTGTCCAGGTTGGATGAAAAGACTAAAAGAGGATGAGATTTGAAGTTCTGGCTTTTGACTTCAGAGAAGTGTGGGACCAGATAGGAAACCCCATGGCCTTTTCAGAGATATGGATACTGTTCTGCCAGGCCAAGTGCTAATTTCCTGCAATACATCTTGCTCTGCATCAGTGTTATTTTGCTACAATAAGTGTTTACAGCAGTATAGAAACAAATATTTGCCTGTTTTTTTCTATTTTTCCTTTTAAATTCTCTTTACATCTCCTTTAATCACAAAGCAAACAGATTAAGAGTTTCCAAATGCTTCTTGGCTTTCACATGCACATATTCCCCACTAATTTGTGACAAAGCCATCTAGAGTGTTTAAGAGATTTCAGAAGTCTTACATAGCCGTGTGTCCTGATTTCAGCTGGCATACAGTTAATTTTCTTCTAGGAGCTGGTAGAGTGTTGTGTTTTGGAATTAGGAAGAGAATAATGTGGATAACACATTGATTTTGTAGTTGTTGTTAAGCGATGTTTACTCTAAGTCAAGGACTTTTCAGCTCACACCACCCCACCATTGAGTAGGCTGGGGAGGCACAAGGAGCTAGGAGGGGACAGAACTGGAACAGCTGACCTCAACTGGCCAAAGGGATATTCCATATCATAGAATCATACTCAGCATATAAACTGGGGGAAAAGTTGGCTGTGGGCTGCTACTGGGCATCAGTCCGTTGCTGGTGAGTAATTGTATTGTGTATCACTTGTTTTGTACGATCTAATTCTGTTATCATTACTATTGTTGCTACTACTATTAATATTATCATTATTATTGTTTTCCCTTCTTTTTTTTTTTTGTCCAGTTAAGCTGTCTTTATCTCAACCCATGAGTTTTACCATTCTCCTGCTCTGTCCCCCATCGCACTGAGGGGGGAGTGCGTGAATGGCTGTGTGGTACTTAGCTACCTGCCAAGTTAAACCACCACACACACAGTGCTAACAAGGAAGCAGATTTCTGGCCTTCCTTTTTCACTAATGTATTCAACTATGGCCTATTATACCTCACACTGTGACAGAAAACCCAGTTCAACAAAACCTCTGGGTGGCTCAAGGGGTACAAGTTCCAGCTACCTCAGCTAAATGCTAAGGAGGCTGAGGGAAGGCCCACCAAACTCAATGACAGTCTTTTTTTTCAATGGACTTTAAATGGGGAATTAAGTCTATTTATTTGCTACAAGCAATACGAAATTTTCAAACCCTTCTGCAAACCTACCCCAGGGGAGGAACAAAGCCCCAGAGCATGCTAATAAGAATTGTGTGCACTTGAAAAAGCTATTTATATTGGACACTGCTGTCTTCAGGCTTCTCATACTTTCTGCGAGACATTTCCATTCATTTCCATCTATCTTAAGCTGCAACCCAGTTGTAATATTTAAGGCCCTTTTGCCCCCTTGCCTCATTTCTTATGTTCCCATTTCAAAGAGAAACTGCTCTCAATTTTTCATTAAAGGTCACAGTAAAAGTCTGAAACTTGGCCTGTAAATTCCTTCTGATCAAAAGTGGTTCTTTGTTAAGGTGAAGATGGAGAAATAACAAGTTTTGTGATTCACTTACCATTTCAGTGTGTCTTTAGGCCTTTCACAAAAAGTTAAGTCCACAACACAGATGTGTAGGACAAAACAGG